CCCCAAAACCCCAAAACCCCTAATTAAAAGATTTGTGAATAATTATACTAAATCAAATATATTCTTATTTTAGGCTATTATTATCAGATATTTTTCCACCTGATTACAAATGTTGATCCTCATTATTATCAGGCTCATCCTCATACTCAATGTCATTAAGTAGATCTTCATCGAGTTATTTTTTATTCTTTTCTTTAAGATGATGGGACTCCTCATTGTAGGTAAAATCTTCAAAGTGCATTTTATTTAGCAGCTCAACGTTAAAGCTGTTCATTTCTAGCTAGCCAGGTGTTTACTTGATATCCTCATTTAAAAAGGCTCCATCAATGTGCTTTGTATCCCACGAATTTTTCACCTTTAGCTTGAGTGGAGGTTTTTACCATGTCTTTTTGTAAACAGCATCCCAATTTACATCTTCGAAGAATGAATGATTCTTAATTGAAGCAACCCCTCCTATTTTCTATGAGCCTAATCTAGTTAAAGGATTCTTATCCAATAACCTCATTAGTAAATCTTAAAGCTTTTTACTAAACCAGTCTTTTGGAATGAAATCATTATGAATGATCATCCCCATTACTCTTGAGTTGTTAGAATCATTAAATGGAGGCTATCCGAATATCATCTCATGAATTAAAATTCCAAGACCCCACCAATCAACCATTTTGTTGTAGCCTTTCTTGAGAATAATCTCAGGAGCTAAATATTGGCATGTTCCACAGAATGTGCTAGTTTTTCCTCCATTTTTCTCATCATCTATATGTTTTGATAATCCAAAATCAGTGAGTCTCACATGACCATCAGCATCGATAAGAATGTTTTCTGGTTTAATGTCTCTATATATAAAACCCATATTATGCATTGCCTCGATTGCCAATATAATTTCGGCTGCATAGAATTTAGCCTCTTTCTCATTGAATCTGACCTTCTTTCTGATGTGGTGAAACATATCTCCCCCACTCACATAATCCAAAACGAAATACAATCTGTCTGGTGATTAGAAAGCATAGTGCATCTCAACTATGAAGGGATGCTTCAATTCCATTAAAATCTTCCTCTCCTGAAGGATGTAGTGCAGTTGATTTTTGTCGTGAAGAAATTTCTTTTTCAATACTTTCAATGCATAATAGCAAACTAATTCATGATTGGTTTCATGATATTTTTTTATAAGATAGACTTTGGCATAGGAGCCTCTGCCAATAACTTTAATGACCTCAAAGTTATCAAAGTTTAGTCTCTTGGAGAAAAGATGTTGCAAATTATCCTCTTTATTCTCTTCCATCATTGTTGATATCAGATTTTATCTCTTTTTTCTGACTGTATTGGGAGTATAAGGGGATCTGGGAGTTGATAGTACTGAAGCATCATCTGAAAAATAACCATTTTCTGATGCACCTTTTTTATTTCCCCTGCGAGAGACGCCATAATCAGTAGTTTACTGTCTATTATTTTTGTAGTTAAAACACTGCGTCTGACCCATAGTTTTATAATATGTTATATTATTTTCACTGATTCAAAATCTTCTTTATTAATGAAGATGGGGTTTTGGGGTTTTGGGGTTTTGGGG